TACACACACTGCTTAAGTGTGTACACAGATGCAGAAACAAATCCCCACAGAACATTTGAGAATGATGTAATTCGGTAAGAGTTGAGATGGATATTATGAACTGTGTGAAGCGGATGTCACTTTTATGTTAACAGAGTAGCCCAGAGAGGTCACAGATTTCACAGCATCTCTCTTCAGCATGTCCTGTTTCGTTATAACGTGTTCTAGTATGTTCTTTTGCTTGGCTATGTTTTTCTAGTGAAGTTTTCTGCAATAAGAAAAAAACTGTTCTGAGCAAAGGAGACATCCTGAAGTTTCCTAAACTTGCTGAAACCATGGAAACCATTGCAGAGCAAGGGGCAGATGCCTTCTACACTGGCAAGATAGGACATGATTTAATTGAGGACATAAAAGCTGCAGGTTGGTGAAATGACAACTTAAGCTGGGCAAGCTTGGGGTGTATGCTTGCAAAGAAAAACATAAAAAGATATGCATTACTTTTATCCAATGTGAAAAAAGGTTAAAAGTAACTATACTTTAAAATAAAGCTGTGTTTATACATTGTATTCTACATGTCTTTTAGGTGGGACAATGAAAATGGAGGATCTGAAGTCCTACCAAGTGCGGGTGGATGATGCCTGGACAGTTCCTCTAGGAAATGTTAAGATGCACATCCCTCCACCACCTGCTGGGGGCGCCCTGCTTGCCTTCATTCTCAGACTCATGCAAGGTTTCATGTACTGTGTGACTCTTTTCACAATGTCCTGAATGGATCTACTGTAGCAAATGAATGAAATAATTCATCCTGCACTGTGAATTATAAAGAAGAAAAAGAACACTATAGACCAAAGCAGAACAAAAACGTTTTAATGTATCTTGTTGCTCTCTTTTTCTGCAGAGTTCTCCTTGACTCAAAACTCTCTGGATGGTGACCAAAAGATCCTGTTGTACCATCATTTTATAGAGGCAGTCAAATTTGCTAATGGACAGAAGAGGAGCATTAGAGACCCCGTCTTTAACAAAGAGAAGGTTGGGATCTGATTTTTAAAGTTATTATTAGGACAAAAGGTACTGGCAGCAAAAGGTGTTAAATAACCGTAAAATAATAACTGTATACAGTAACAGTTACTAAAGTTGCAGTAATCATATTAACAATGGGAACAAAATGAGGCTCATAGAGGCAAAGCCTCAACTCTGCAGATCCTCAAAGCGTAATGGAGATTTTGAGTATCTTTTAGCTCATTATTTTGGTTTTGCAGTCTAATTATTTTCTCATGACACTTTGGAGCTGGGAGGGGGCTGTTTTAAAAAAGACAAGTTTAGAGACTAGCTAGTGAACATGGTGGAGCATAAAGCAGTTATACAGCCAGATTTTTCCTTCAGGGGTTGATAGAGACCAAGCAGAACTGAAAGAGAATGAATATTGGACTATATAATAATCTACCCAACAAAAAGAAAGAGAAAGTTATAATTAATGTGAGATTATTTATACGTATTCCATGTCACCCTAGTAATATTTACTGCAGGTTGCCAGAGGTTTCAGAGCTGTCTCATTGTGGTGTTCTTCTCTCAGACTGCAGATCATTTGATTGATCCCACCTTCATTAAGCGCATCAGGGCGATGATTTCTTCAGACCGCACCCATGACAACTCCTACTACAACAATATCCAGCCTTCTCCTGATCACATTGGGACAACACATGTGTCTATCCTGGATGAAGATGGACTGGCTGTCTCTGCCACCAGCACTGTAAACCAGTTGTGAGCAGGAAGCTTCTTCAAGCAGATGATTTGTATATCCACCGTCTTATTATGATGGTGATATAATGATAAGACATTCATCCCCTTAGTCTGCTGCACTGTGATTTGTTTGTAGATTTGGAGGAACAATTTACTCCCGACGAACAGGCGTCATCCTCAACAACGAGCTGGCAGATTTTTGCGGAAGAGCAGACACATTGAGGGCAGGTACAGTCACAGACACAAACACAGCCTTTCAACCCCGGCCAACTCAATTAAAGCCATTACTTAGTAAAGCCATGTAGTCTCCTCTCAGTCTGATATGAAGTGTAATTGTTGTCATAGGCGAACAGCCTCCCTCCTCAATGGCCCCAGTAATACTGGAGTTAGCGTCCGGAGGAATCCTTGTGATCGGTGGATCTGGGGGCAGCATGATTACTGCAGCAATGGCCTCGGTAATGCAAATGAACTCTGTTTGCCTGCTTGTTTGTCTCATTTCTTCTTTGTTTGCTTATGTGATTCTCCTCGATTCTTGCAGTCTATAATGAATCACCTGTGGCTGGGGATGAATCTGAAAGATGCCATTCATGCTCCTATAGTGTTTGTTGATTCCAAGAACAATTTGAATTTTGAGCCTGGTTTTAACAAGGTGAAGTACGCCTATTTTCATCGTAATGGAATTTAAATGCACTACACTGTGACCATATTTCTAATGAATAACATTTCTATTTATGTTAATGGATTCTGATGGAGATTACCAGGACTTAATCCCACAAAGTCAGATTTAATTTAAATGTAATCATTTTAAAAATCTGAATTAGAAAGGGTAAGTGGTATTAATGTGTGTGTGTTGTGTGCCCTCAGTCTGTGATAGAAAGCCTCAGGGCGCTTGGACACCAATTTGGAAGGTGGAAATACTTCCTCAATGTAGTCAATGCTGTGGAAAAGGAGAATGGCTGTATTGTGGCCGTATCAGACAGAAGGAAGATGGGAGTGGCAGCTGGATACTGACCACACAGACCATGAGGACTCAGCACCCTCCCACTATAATCCCCTTGAACTGACTAAAGGTCTTAAGAATAATGAATGTGCCACATCCCTGACAACAAAATGTGAGTAATTTGGTTCTTTGGTTCTTTCCTGATGGAACTGAAGAACAAGTCACTCAATCAGGAAAGAAGCAAACTTAAAGAATCGTTTTAGTTCATTATAAGTTGAGTCTTGTTTTCCTTGTTTCAGTCATCATTTGTATCAGTTAGACAACACTATAGAAAGTAATTGCAGAGTTCTTGAAAATCGGCAGCTAAAGAACATGGGGCAAGAAACATGAGTGGTCAGATGATCACATTATTTCATTTGAGGGCAAGAGTGCACATAGTTGAATTTTTATTACATTTTAGCATGACCTTTAACCAAATTTCCTGAAAATCATCACAAGAATGTGGTGGAATTATGGAATTTTCTCAAATTAATGCGTGAAACAAATTTGCATTTGAGAAAATTTACTGTCTCTTAATCACTCCACACAAGTCTGTTTTCATCTACCACAAAGAGGAGGACAGTTAACTCACCAAGCATAATAACTTTTTTGCCATTTCCACTGAAGCTTTTTTATGGGAAATAAGAAAATGGACATAAAGCTAAATATTAGCTGGAAGATGTTCGCCTAAGCAGGGGTAGGGGTTAGGGTTAGTCCTATTACCTGACTTTGACAACATCCGGCTGCCTGCAGTCTAGGTTGCAGTCTTTATCCACAGGCAGGGCTGCCTCAGAGGTTTGGGTATTGATCATGAAAGTTCTTTTATGATGTTTGGGACAGAAATTTGTCAAAATAATTTAAGTTCACTTACTAGTTTTTTCAACTGCATCAGCAAATAGATGCAGTAGCTAAACTCTCTAGAAACATCTATTAAGTGATTCATCTTCAGAATAAATTTGGCTGTTTAATCATCTGACTGTCCAGATTTCTTGCCCCATCAAAAAAAAAAAAAAAATTTTGCACTGTTGGCTTGTTCCCAGATTTCAGCAAGTAATTTACAGAGTGTGACTTGAGGAATTGATGGACAAAGCTATAAAAATGAGTTATAATGCTCTGGTAACTAACTCATAATTGGCATGACATTGGGCTGCTATATTCTTAATCCTACACTTACTGTAAGAGCAAATCAACAATAATCCAAAGTCACCCAAACCCATTGCTGTGTAATACTGTTGCATCAATGAATGTTGTGTTTTCTGACATAACTGTTTTCTGTACATGAGCCATGTACCTTTGACAGTGGCATCCTGACTGGCATACTGTATGAGATGAAGGTTGTTGCTTGATGTTGGCTGCCATATAAGGGAGTTTTACTGTGACCTTAAGGATTTTAATATGGGAGCCAGCTTTATTCAGGTCCCAGAGTACACTGTGATCATTGTTTAAAATTCAAGGAAATGCTATAGAATTAGTTTTTTAAGTCAACCAGCAAGTAGATTTAGAATGAACATTGTCTCATATGTTGTATTTTTATAACACTAACATGCCATTTTGTACTTTCTCTGAGTTTTAATGTGCCAAAATGTTTTGTAAATTACACACTTTTGCGATTCCTAACTGTGAATATGTGTTGCCACAATAAACCTGACCAAAACAGTTTTCATCAGCCTTACTTCTCAACAAAACACCCTGAACATTAACTTTTCACTAGAATCTACAGTTCTTTAAACATAACCCTTGTTGTTAGTATTGTGTGATTCACATTTAATCTACTTTATGCTTTCCTGTTTTCCTTATTTCAGGGCAGCACTTTTACACTGAGACAATGAACACAGTAATGAGATACATTTCAGTAGAGAGACTGATGAATTACTAATGATTTCTTAAGTGGCTTCTGCTTCGTTTTCCTTTGACGCACTAGATGTGAGTTATGAGAACATGCTAATTTAAGTCTGTGTGAAGCACGGCTGTCTTTGTTGCATGATAAATGAGTTAATGTGGATAAGTTGTGACTTCATAGTTTATGGTATTACCCTGTGCTCTGTATATAAAGTAAGCGTCATTTTAAAACACGTCAAAAGCGCCTTTCACAAAAAGTCTGTCAATCGAATTTCAAAAGCAGAAGCAGTTACTGTAAATAATCCAGTAATGACTCTGACTTCTTGTGTTAGCTCAGTCACAATATCCCTTGATGAAGTAAATCATCTCAACAGTAGTATTATACATGCATTTTGTATTTGTGCATCATCATTTGAAACTATCATAATGTCATCTGAGGCAGTGGTGTGAATTTAGACCTTGATACGAAGGGGAATAAATTGGCCTGTCTGAGTTGCTTAATTCTGACGTTCGTTAGTACTACGTCGAAGTGAGATAGTGCTTGAATGGTCCTTAGAGAAACATTTGTGACCACTCATTTTTGGGTTCTCCATCTACTGAAAAATGTATGCAACCATAACAGGTAATAAAACTGAAGATTTGAATATTAGTTCTGCGGGACATCGTGGTGGACCAGTGGGTAAAGATGCATACCGTGTAATATTAATGGCTGTGGGCCATTGTTGTATGTCACCCTGCCTCTCTTTTCCCATTACCTGTCACTCTCTACTAGTTTCTGTCAATACAGGCCAAAGTCAATATGAGTTTCCTGAACAAATGTTACTCTGTGCTCCATTCTTTGTTTCATTTTGACAGGCCCCATTAGAAACACAGAAAAGGCAGATGCATGTCTTCCATCTGTTTCCCTTTTTTCCTCCTCAGTAACATTATAGTCATACTAGCAGTGTGGCTTTACTGTGATTTGTTTATTTTTATTTTTCATTTAACTTATATTTTACTGGGGAAAACCCACTGAAATTTCAAAGCTCCTCTTCAGTGGTGCCTTGGCCAAAACAGTGGCATACAAAATCACAATGACCAGATCATTGTGCAAAAATTCAAAAGCTACAAAATAAAAACAGGGTAATTAAAACTAATTAAAAGCAGACAAAAATAGAATAGAAGAAGAATGCTATGACTTTAGGAATGGAAATGTATAAATGCTAACATGCTAAAATGCAAACCTAACATACAACATAAACAACATCACTGTGTATGTTATGCGTGTTATTTTGTCTTTGTGTGCATGTTAGCACGCTGCACGTTACCATGTAGCTCATCCTCACAGTGTTGCTAGCTGGACTGTGGATTCCTGTTAACCAGAAGCTTAGCAGCTGTGGTTACATGAGGATCATGTCTTGTCAATCAGTCCACACTTAAACCAACAGAATTTGCACTGAGTAAGAAAAAGGAATGACACATCATCCACTGTGCAAATCTGGGGAAAAATGCATTAAAAACATTCATGTCTGAAATAAAATAAATAATGCAATCACACTGTCACACTGGGAAAGTGCTTATATGTCTAGTAGGTGCTGTGAATATCAGATTATAACAGCATTTCTGTCACATATGAACTAGTCATACGTAGCAAAAAGTTGATGAAGGCAAAATAATTTTACACTGCTTATTTTTTCTATACTTTTACACACACGTTTACAACCCAGCTGAGAAAAGAGGAGCCCTGAATTCCAGTGGTGACAAAGAGCAGCAACAGTTGTAATGCTGTTATGAGGCCATTATAGGCCACTGCACTCTGGGTTGTGGGAAATTACTGTGAGTCATAAGTGCTGTGAGACTGCTTATTCCTGAGGTGTTATGGTCCTTTATTTTATCAACAGCTGCTGTCTGCTCTCTCTGTTTACTCTCACCTCATATGAAACATCCTAGTGTAATATCATATTTGAGTTCTCAGTTAGTTTTGGTTGATTTTGTTCTTTAATTACATAAACAAATAAGGTGACATAAAAACAGTAGATGTAAGAGTCAGTGTTCACAGTTAACTTCAGATGCAGGCACTTTGTTTTCAAGCTCATACTGTAACAAGAGGTAGGTCTGAGTTACATGTTATGAAGAACACAAACACACTTCTAACTTAATGAGTGAACAGCTAATGATAGGCTCTCCTTCTTTATGAAGTTTCTAATCTCACGTACCACTGGAGTTCAAAGGTTCACACAGCTACAGTCTGGTGTGTTTATAACCTCAATATCCTGCAGCGTACGCCCACTTGCGAGGATCGGACTGAGCACGGAGTCCATCATCATAACAAACCACCGCCTGCACCACGGCTCCTGTTGATGTGAGGTTCTCTGTCTCATGGTTCTTTAATGCCAAACCACCCAGGACATTCTGTAAACAGGCACACATATGAGGACAAAGGACTGCATGGAAAACTAGGGAAACTGAATAGGTGTGCTATGCTCGGTATATAAAAAAGGCAAAGTACTGTGTACGTATAGAATGTGATAATATACAACGATCTGACTTGAAAAATGATAAGGCACTGCCTGTTGGTGTGTTTCCTATTTTGATAAAGGGCGCTGTAGAGGTTCAGTCTTGGTTGAATGATTGTCTCCCTACACACCACAGCGCCCCACTCTTAGTTACATATATCAGAATTGTTTGCTGGCTGTGACACTCACTATGTCAAAACCATACTCTACTATTGTGACGTTGGGGCTCAGCTGGTTGTGGAGCCTTGGCTCCTCCACGGCTTTTTTCAGATCATAGTTGAAGAACAATGCGTTCAGAATCACCTACCAAAAAAGCAAACAATAATATTGAAATAATAGCTATTTAAACAATGAAGTAGTTGACAATTACTTACTCTGCTTAACAATAGTGTACTTCAATAATTTATAAAACATTTTAAATACTAAAATAGCTGTATTAACTTCTGACTGTGCTTGTGTCTTACCTGAGCAACAGAAGTAGTGATTTTTGTTCCTCCTGAGCCTCCAACCACCATTTTAACTTGGTTGTTTTTATCAAAGAGGATGGTCGGAACCATAGAAGACATTGGCCTTTTCCCTTTTAACAGAATTTAATGGCAATGTAAGTCACAGCATTGAATCAGATAAAAGTAGATTTAACATGGGAAGACAAGATGGCTAGTGCTCACGGTGTCTAAGCCTAAGGTGCTCCTGAAGACAAAGCCTGAACTATTATGTGTGTGTGTTGACCTTAATCTAACCTGGTCTGATGAAATTGTTTGGTGAAGGAGGCACTCCATAGCTGTTTGTGATGAGCGGGGAGCTGAAATCATCCATCTCATTGTTGAGAAGTATCCCTGTTGATCCTGACATGACTTTGGAACCCAAACTGCAAACAGGTAAATAGTAACCATTGAGACATCAGCAGAGTTACAGGCAGCTTTTAGCTCATTCTGGTAGCAATATTCATCATGGCCAATCAGGAGGTTGTACTATTGGTTGATGGTGCTCGTGGCCGCCACAGCGCTTCCGTCTTCTGCTACTACAGAGAGGTGTGAGGTGCCGTGGTTTTCAGGCAGGTAAAACTCTGGCTCGTAGTAGTTCATGTGATGTGTTGTTTCATCTGTAATCTTCTCACGGAGGCTACTGGCATAGAAACTCGAAGTCATATTCTGGATGAGCTTTGAAAAAGAAAGTGGGACACAAAAGTAATTGAATGAGAAATACTAGTGAAAACTCTTGTTTAATATTATATGTTAAGTACTGATTCATACTTTTATTATTGTTCATACTAATCCGATGCAGACAAAGTCTCGCATGCTTTTAATTATATTTCTGTGTGTGGTCTGAAGGGCACCTTTAGCTTAGCCCAAGTCACTCCAGTCTACATGCTAAACACCAGAAAACCCATCTCTTTAACTGCTAAATGAGTTTATGCCATGACCTTACATCTGTAATGTTGAGAAACTTCAGATCTCCAAGTAGGGTCCTCTTTGCATAAGCAAAGCGAAAGGCCTCGGTGATGCGATGGTAGGTCAGGATCTTTTTCTCAGTGCTTGCCATACTCTCTGACGTGAAGTTGTACCCTATAGAAAATACAACAATCAGCAGCAAACCAATTTAAACAACAGCCTCATTCATCTATCATCATTCAAATGGAAGTCAGACAGCTAAAATGGACAGCTTGTTCCTGTGTTTTTATTTAGTCAAAGAGCTGCTGTGGCCAGGCCATGGGTATTAGCCTGAGCTGACAGCCTAGGAGGAAATCTAGAGGAAGAGCTGAGGGAACCACAGAGTTTTGGTGTGATGAGTTTCAGCTGTCAGACAGAGGCAGCAGTCACAGTAAATCAGCAGGATGAAAGTTTTGGCCTGTCACGGAAATGTTTGCGTGAAGCCTCCACCACTCAACTGTGTCCAATTAGAGTTAAATTGGTGAGATTAGTGTTAGTGTGTGAGGCAGGTGGGGGTGTAGTGAGTGGGCGGTCAGTCAGAGGAGAGGAAAGGTTCAGGGAGATTAATTGCTTTAGAAGGATGTTTCTCATCTAACCCTCAGAGGCAGACACTGTCACATACCAAAAGGTGGCTGAGGAGCAAAGAGATGATCTTTAAAACAGACAATTTACATTTTATGGAAATGGATGAAAGTTAAATCAGAGAGGTGGTGTTCAGATATGAGACATATAATGAAAATGATGATAAACCAAGATAACAATGATTTTATAAGCAGCATACTCATGAACTCTGCTGATCAGATTCCAAACCTCTAAGGTGTGAAGACTCAGACACCAACTATCTTTGGCTTTTAATTACTACAATGAAACAAAAGCTGCTCTGTA